AACCCCGCGCATTCGGCGTCAGCTCGTCGGATCGCCCAACTCCGCCTCTGCTCACCTCTTACTTCGCTCGTGTGCCGATCTCACATCGCGCAACCCCGAGCTTCCAGTTTGCTAAGAGAGCAAGTTAATCGCGCAGCCAGAATTTATAGCGTGCATGCATGCGCGAAGAACACGGAATTACAAGGAAGTAGATAGATGGGGGAGAGGGAATGCCTACGTTTGCATGGCCGGGCCGAGGCGTGGGGGATTGATCCGAACATGCAACCGCGGCTGCTCAATGTAGGCAGGGGGGGGGGAAGGAAGAAACGAGGCGGGAAGAAGAAAAAACAAGAAACTAAAAGATACAGTTACAAAAGTGTGCGCCAAAAATTACAGTTGCAAAAGGATTAAGGCGCCAATCAATCAAGGTTCCGGCGCAACAGCAAGAAAGAGCGCGCGAACGTGCAGAGCAGCGCCCCAGAAAAACAAAAATTCCAAAATTTCAAAATTCCTAGCTAGCCTGCCGATATTAAGAAAGGTCCGAAAAGAAAATCAAAATTCCGAAGGCCGTATGGCTCCGACCAAGATTCGAAAAGAAAATTCAAGAAAGAAATTCAAAAAGAGACACAGAAATTCCCGTGCGATGTCAGCGCGCTCAAAAGTCCGACAAAACAAAATTAAAAGAAGGGAAACGAAAAAGAAGGGACGTCAACGTTTATTAATCGCACACTCGGCGCGCACTCCGCATCCGACCAGGTTTCGCCCCTTTTCCCCGTGTATTCCCGAATTGGCCCCAACTGTCCATCAGGGGCTTGTGCGAGAACGAAAAAAAAGCAAGGACACACATGCAAATTTCCATCAACCCATCCAATCGATGTGGGACCCCGCTTAGCACTTCGCGCCGAAAGTCGCGCATTACAGAAGCTAGTTCGTCACATATGTGACGCCTAGGGGGTTCCAAAGATAAGCAAGCTCCTGCTTGCTAGTTGACGTGTCGTTGCTCTTTGATTGATTGGCCGTGGAGGGTTGATCTTCTTCTCTGCCGCATACCGTGCGAACGAGTGTGGACGTCATGCTGCGCGGCAGTCGTATCCTGGTTGTCGTCATTTGTGGGGAAGAGGAAAAGGAGATGTTATAGGTTATAAGTATATTCATGCGAAAAAATATTGCAATGAGAAGAATATTCAAGGGGATAATAAATTAATGTTAGTTAAAAGTTACAACTAACTTTCTCTCTCTGTCATTTGTTTTTATTCTTGACTACAATTCCCAACTTTGCCATTTTAAATTTATAAATGAAATACTGATAAAATTACAAGAATTCAACATCATAAAAAAACATTCATAAACCTATTGTTATAAAAGTTATTTTTGCTGTAAAAAATTCAAATAAGATGCGCTTCATATTAAATGTCATATTTGTAGATCTTTTCATTATATTTTATTCTTTAAAATATAAAACAATAAATAATTTAGTACCTCGTCTCCTAAGTCAACCTCATTTAAGTCAACACATTTATTGCACTATGTTTAACTTAGTTTGAGACTATAAAATAACAAGTACAACTAATTTAATATTTGCGTAGCACATCGAACATGCTCATAAATTTAACAAATGTTCCAACACGTTCGCCCGTTCGCTCGAACGGGAAGCGAACTCGTTCGCACGAACGTCTTTCCGAGGTTTGCGAACGCGTTCGTCCAGCAAGCGTTATCGGCCCTTGGAAAGGTCTGGGGGGCAGGTGGGGGGCCTGGGGGCTGGTTTGGGCGGGCGGCCTGGCGAAAGGGGGCAGCCTGGGCCCACGTGTGTGTATCCTCACAGCTCCTAACCTCGCAGCTGACGCCATCGTCGATGTCGACGCAGCTTCGCAGGGAGCACGCCATCGTCGTGGCAGGTGTCCATCCCCCTCCTCCTCGTCCTCCTCGTCCTCCTCGTCCTCCTCGTCCTCCTCGTCGTCATCGTCCTCCTCCTCTTCCTCGTCCCCGTGGTCGTCTTCCTCTTGTACTTCCTCCTCCTCCCTGTCATCGTCTTCCTTATGTACTTCATCCTGTACTTCCTCCTCCTCCTCCCCGTCATCGTCCTCCTCCTGTACTTCCGCCTCCTGCTCCTCCTCCTCCTCCTCCTCCCCGTCGTCGTCCTCGTCCTGTACTTCCTCCTCTTCCTCCTCCTCCTTTTCCTCCTCCTCGTCATCGTCCACCTCTTGTACTTCCTCCTCCTCCTCCCCTCCTCCTCCCCGTCCTCGTCCTCCTGTATTTCCTCCTCCTCCTCCTCCACTGACCAACGCGCGGCTGCCACGTCACCACGCGCCCAATTTTTATTTTTTTTGGGTTCCTCTTCTTCTTCTTCCGCCTCGTAATCCCCCTCCTCCTCCTCGTATTCTTCTTCTTCTTCTCCTCCTCGTATTCAATTTAACAGGCTCCTCCTCCCCCGCTTTTTTTTGTATTTTTTTTTTCTTTCTTTTTTTTGTCTGATCAATCAATCAATCAATCAATCAATCAGTCAGTCAGTCGGTCAGTCGGTCGGTCGGTCGGTCGGTCGGTCGGTCGGTCGGTCGGTCGGTCGGTCCAATCAATCAATCAATCAATCAATCAATCAATCAATCAATCAATCAATCAATCAATCAATCAATCAATCGATCAAAGATCCCATCCAATCGATTGATTCGATAGGATCTTAATGTTGAATCAATCGATTTGATGGGATCTTCGATCGATCGAT